AAGTTATCTACCCATCAGAGCTAAACTTACTTCTTTTGCTGATGATAACACCTTAACTTGGAGGGGAAAGAATGTTGATGATTTAAAGAAAGTTATATCAGAGGATCTTAGGCTCATCAAGGAATGGTGTGACGCAAACTTACTTTGTTTTAACACTAAGAAAACCAATGTAGTAACTTTCAAATTCACTTTTAATGATTTGGTTTTGGAAGCACAGCCAATTGAAAACAAAACAAGCTGTAGGTTCTTGGGTATCCATGTGGACAACCATCTTAAGTTTAATGAGCATGTCAAAATCTTGAATAATAAATTGGCCAGAGGCTGCTACGCAGTTAGAATAGTGGTGAATGAACTAGGTTTGGATACTGCAAAATTGGTTTACTTTTCGCTGGTGGAATCGCACATTAGATATGCCATTTCATTCTGGGGTAATTGCTCGGATGGGCTGTTCGAGTCTGTTTTTGTTCTTCAGAAACGAGCGATAAGGTATTTGTGTAGGGTTGGATACCAACATCACTGTAAGCCACTTTTCATCCAGCATAACATTTTAACAGTTTGCTGCTTATTTATCCTTGAGTCAGCCTGCCTAATGCACAAATACCACTACAGCAATCTAAACAATTCAATGACTTATGCAACTAGGCAACGATTGCAGATTCGAACACCTATCCCAAAATCAGCACTGACCCGAAACTCTATAATTTTTAAAAGTAGACAGATTTTTAATCATCTTCCAGCAAACTTAAGACAAATTGCATTTCTTAAAAAATTTAGGTTTGCGGTGAAAACTTTTTTGTGTAGTAAAGCCTATTACAAACTGAACGACTATTTCAATGAACGATTTTAATTTTAATATTAATATTATTCTTCCATTTTTTATATTTCACCTTTATTATAATAATTTTATCCTTCCGTTTTTATTTTTGTTTTTGTTTTTGTTTTATTTTATTTTTTGTAGGTTGTTGAATTAGGACTAAATATCTTTATACAATATTTATTTTATTTTAATACTATTTAGACCTTAAGCATGCTTTGTCAATGAAATTTTATTTCAGACAATAAAGTATATTTTGATTTGATTTGATTTGAGTGCACCATACAGAAAAACGATCCAAGTCCTCCTGCAGCAACCGGCAATCATATATTGTTTGTACAACTCTGAATGGCTTTAAATCATCAGCGAAAGCAAGAAATCTACTATGCTGGAAAGAGTCTTTAACATCATTAATAAAGCAGTTGAATAAAAAAGTTGAGAGGTGTCCACCTTGGGGAACACCCGAGGTAACTCTTGTTTCAGATGAAATATAGTTTTTTATTTTAACCGCCTGCGTTCTACCTCTCAACATATTTTCAAACCAACCAAGCAGCTCTCCATGTATTCCAATAGCTTCCAGCTTTTTCAACAAGATGCCGTGATCAACCCTGTCAAAAGCCTTGGAGAAATCTGTGTAGATGACATCAACTTGACACTTATTCTCCAAGGCTTCCAACAGAGACTGCTCATAACATAGCAGATTGGAAATTGTCGATCTCGACCTCACAAAACCATGCTGCTCGCTGACAATTATGTGCCTAAAATGAGGTGTTATTTTATCTGCAATTATCGATTCAAAAATCTTAGATATCAGAAATATTTTTGAAATAGCACGATAATTTTTTATATCAGAGCGATCCCCATCCTTAAAAACAGGCGTCACATAACATTTCTTCCAACACATGGGGAACATTCCACTACTTAAGGATAAGTTAAAAATTTTACAAAGAATTTCTGCTAAAACATATTTACAATTTTGTAATAGAATGACAGGTATACCATCTGGACCCGGTCCTAATGTTTGTTTCAAACTACTAATTTTATTAAAAACGTCAATAACAAACAGTTGTAAAGAACTAAGACTAACAGATTTATCATAGACAAACGACACATTTGTATCCCTGTATTCCGAGTATTCTGAAGAGAAATGCCTGTTAAACATGTTAGAGATCATCTCTGGATTATTACTGGATTCATCATCAAGGTTCATAGACTGAGGGTATTCGGAATTGCCCTTTTTAGAGTTCACAAATTTCCAAAAAGACTTTTTGTCTGTTAACTGAGCTTCCATAGATTTTATATAACTTTGATGACTAGAGGACGACATATCTCTACACTGTTGCCTTAAATATGAAAAAACAGCATAATCTTGAAGAGATTGTGAAGCTTTGAATATCTTGTGCGCTTTCTTTTTCTGCAAGATTAGATTCTTCAACTCATCATTCATCCATTTAGGAAATTTGGGTGTCAAAAATCTACACATGGGAACAAATGAGTTAACCGCATAATATAGTATGTCATAAAATTCCGAAACAACCCACTCCAAATTAGTACACTCAGAAACGAAGGACCAATCAACAGTAGACAGAAAACAATTTAAATCATGATAATTCGCACACTTAAAATTATGATAAAAATAATCACATGACATATTCATAGGTTGACCGTTACCCAAATTAAAACTGCATTCGAAGGCTGGGTGAGGAGCATCCAGCCTCAGCAATGGCTTATCACAGATAGAAACATTAATATTCATATGGTTAGAAAACAGTAAATCCAGAAAATTGCCATATTTATTTGGAATCTGAATATTTTGATACAATCCCAGGTATGCAACACAGTCCGAGATTGCGGAAGATTCCATGGAGAGATTTCCAGCTGGTAATGTTCCATTTTCATCATTCACCCAAGATATTTTTGGAAGGTTGAAATCACCCCAAAGAAAAATGTCTGTGAAGGCATCACCGTCCACCAAATACATAAGTGACCGACCAAAAGCCTCGTAGACATCCACACCTGATACACCAGGGATATAAGCATTCCCAACCAATATTTTCTTTTTGTCGATGCAAATCGAAACAAAAACATGCTCAACACTGTCAACTGGAGTGATGAGCTGACGACACGAAAGTGCGCTCCTGACCGCAATGAGAACACCACCCTGGGACAAGCAAGTGCTGGTCTGTTCCGATCTGTACATCTAAAGACAAAGTACCCATCAAGACCAAGTTCACCTGTCAATATTGAACTGATGATTAGTCGATCATTCTTTTTAATATTAAAAAAATAAAACAAACATGCCAAAATGTGTCATTCGCTGCTTTGACGTTTTTACCTGACATGTTTTCATTGTTGCCAGCAAAGGTAAATAAATAAGAGTGAGGGAAATCGGTGAGGGAAGTCGAATAGGGAAATCGGTGAGGGAAATCGAAGAGGGAAGTGACACAGGTAAAGTGTCATTTCCAAATTTTTAAAAAGTCAGTAATGACAGTACTAAGTAACCGTTCATAGTTACTTAGTACTGTCCTTTTATAATGTTTAAAATTTTTTATACAGATGTGATATACCCATTAAGTGATATAGTATTTTATTAATTGTAATTGTAATTGATTGTAACCTAGTTTTAAGATTTTGATAACGCTATGAAACTCTGTTTTAAGTCTGAAATATATACAACTATACAACTAATGACAAGATTACATATATGATTGCAAATAAAAGACTTTATTTACAATCATACATGTAATGTTGACTTTACTGACTTTTAAAAAGTTCGAAAATGTCACTTTTTTGACTTTTACTTTCGGCCCACGGGTCGAAAGTAAACTTTCGACCCGTGGGCCGAAAGTAAATGAAATTGTTAATTATTGTATTTTTGAGTTTTAATCCAAATGAAAATTTCAAAATTCGAATGATTGTAAATAAAATAGTATACATACCTCGGTGAAAAGTTTCATTACTGTCTCGAGATTTTAGTTAGACCTCGGCTGCGCCTCGGTCTAACTTAAATCTCTCGATAGTAATGAAACACTTTCCACCTCGGTATGTAATATACTATTACCTTATTTATCTTGTTAGAAAGGTAATACCTATAATGAATAGAAACCAATTGAAATTATTAAAAAAGTGCTTCTGAAAAAATGAAAATTGACGTGTTCGAAAGGAAAGTGTTAATTTGAAAATAACAGGGCATGAAAATTGTTTCATATTGAGCCCTTGGCAACTTTGACAGTGAATATCTTGAAAACTAACCATTCGATTTTCAAAAAAAAAACCGCACTTGTGATGAGAATCAAAATACCTTTAAAACAAAGTACTACTTAATCCATCTCCCCTATCTAAAAAAGTCTAAAAAAGAGGAGTGGAAGTCACCAACAAAGCGCATCTGTTTCGATGTTCGTGAAACACCCTTTAATTGTATTTTGATATTATGATTAATTTTTCTTGTTATTTTTTATTTTCCTTAAAGGCAAATTATTGTTAATTCATACACCCTATGAAACATTCTTCGCCTTCAATTGGATAAATTAATAATCCCCATACAAAATAATGTGAAAGAGTGAAAGAGCTGCTGAATTATTGTACTCTTGTAAAGTTACCGGAAAAAGGTGTATTAGCATTAAAAAAAAGTGCATTTTTTACTGAAGATAATAGTTGAAGAACTGAATCTGTGACGTTACTGCATGTGATCTAATTGGCGTTTACAGTTTTGTATTTGTGTGTATTTTAAATTTACAAAAAAAAAGTGTTATTCTTATCTCAACAGTAGCCGAGAATCTTGATAAGGAAATAAAATAAATAAACAAGACTGAATGGTAAATATCTTGCAAGTATACACGGAAAGAAATTGTGGATACAATTAATTGAGCAGTAGCATGAGTCGATGTGTGGGTTGCGATGAAACATGCGTGTTCAAGAGGCGTCCACCAGATAAAGAATTATTTGGAGCCGGTTGCGACGTATGCAAGAAAACTTACTGCAAGACTTGTTCCAATTTAACGACAACTGAATGTGACAGCTTAGTCTTAAGTCAAAGGCTGCTTCTCTTCATATGTTTGGAATGTAAAACTCAGCTCAAAAACAATGATGAGGAGTTGCAATATTTAAAAAAAGCATATGAGAGGGAAATAGAGATAAAAATGAGAAAGAGCATGAGTTTGTGAACCTTCAGCTTAGATATGATTCTATGAAACAGGATTATGACAAATTAAAAACTGACTTGAACGATAAGGACAGCTATATTCTTAGACTTCAGAGAGGCTCTAGAAGTTTTGAAGACATAGCCGTTGACAGAGAGGAACAATTACAGAAAAAAATAGATTCGTTCATTATTCTTAATGATAAGTTGAAGCAGGATATATCCCAGCTTAGGAGCGAGAATGTTAGTAGACAGCAGGTAATAAAAACCAGGGAAGAGCAAATTAAGAAGAAAGATCTGAAGATCACAGAAATTACAAATAAAAACATAAAACTGTCTAACTTAATTAAAAATATGGAGTCTGAAGCAGGAACTCTGGCAGGAAAACTGAAAAATGTCAGGTCAGAATATGTGACCTTGCAAGAGATCATACATTCTAAAGATAGTAAAATCAAAGAGCTAACAAACGATATTGAAATTTTATCTAAGCGTACCGAGGAGCAAAATGCAAAATTGTAGTATTCTTGGAGAAATATTAGATGAAACAATAAACAACTCAAATGATGAATGTTTTTTGCATGGCCATACTGAGTGTGAAGTTAGGATAAGAGTTTTAAAGCAGGAGATTGATGAACTAAATAAAACAATTAACAATAACGTGGACTCGACTGGGAAGATTATGCAGTTAGAAACTCTCATAAAATCCCTTGAGGAAGAAAACTCAAAGCTACAACAAAAAGCAAGAGAACAACAAGATAAATGTACGGAAATTGAGGAGCTGAAGACTAAGATGAAAACAGCAGAAGTAATAATTTCACAGTACTCATACTCCCTGCAAAGCAAAAATGATAAAACTTCCAAGCTCAGAGACGAACTGGAGGCATTGAAGAATGAATTTAAAAACATGACTACAACCATCCGAGTTTTGGAGATAGCAAATAGGACGTACGAGGAGGAAATTATTGAATTAAAGGGAGATAATATAACACATCAGGGTGAACAGACAAAACATGAGAGTGAAGCTGAAAGCAAAAATAATCATAAAAACCCTAAAAATAATAAAAAGCAGAGAAAGCAATATAACAACAATAATATAAATAAAAGCAACAATAATGAAAACAAAAATAACATTGATAATGGTACCGATATTAATGAACCTAACAACATTACCGATAATATAACAGCAACAATAAGTGTCAACACCAGTTCTCAAAAAAAAACATAAAATATTGTTTCTTACGGACGACTATGGAAAGTATTTGTTGCCTCACCTCGAAAACCAGCTTTGTGAGAAATTTTATGTGCAGACTATTACTAAGCCAAATGCTACATTTATGGACGTTACCAAGGGGCATGATGGCTGCATTTCTAAAATGACCAGCTCAGATTATGTGATTGTCAGGGCTGGTTTAAACAACAATGACATTAGGTTAAGTGATATTACCTTACTCGCAAATACTTGCTTTCATACGAACCTAATTTTTTGTACAATACCTGCGAAATGTGTTGATAATTTGCCATATGGAAATGTACAACATGTGAATGGTAAGATATTAAAATAGCCTCAACTTATACAATAGATTTAGATATTCCGACTATTGTAAAAATGGTATCTTTCTTAATAGGAAAGGTCTTACCACACTAGCTTTTTTCATAAAAAACATGGTTAATAACTTTGATTTATTACAATCACATTCACACTTGAAGCAGATAAATCTGTTACCTTTCAATTCTAATATTAATTTTGAAAATAGTGAAAGCCATGAAAACATTAATTCTTTTGTAAGTACAATAAATTGCAGTAGTTCTAAAAATAATGCTGAAACAGAGAATCATTTTTTAACAGCAGCTCACACAATTTTGAGAATAGTATGACGTCTAGAAATTTGGGTGCACATTGTATTTCCATTCTTAGTGTAAACATTCATTCTTTGCGCAGTAAAATGGATCAAATTGTAGTTTTTCTTGATAGTCATAATTCAGAGTTAGTTATGTTGACTGAACACTGGTTGGAAGAGTGGGAACCATGTCATTTAGAAGGTTATAATGTTGTAGATAAATTTTGTCGTAAGGGGTCACCAGGTTACGGGGGAACCATAATTTTTTATCAAAGAATCGTTTTTGGAAAAATTTAGTCTAGAACCAGTTAATAAATATAACCACTTGTGTATTCAAAATAAATTTGAATTTTCAATAGCTTTTAATGGGAATGAAAAATTGTATTTTATGTGTATTTATAGACCACCTGTTCCCAATGCTACAAGCTTCTTTGAGAACCTGGAGGCAATTTTACTTGATCTGCCAAAAAACTCTAAGATTGTTCTAACCGGAGATCTGAATATTGATTTCAATAAGGTCGACAACGCGGTCACCCAGATATTAAAGAACTTGATGCATTCGTATGGGCTAAAAATGTTCGTTTCTTCCCCTACTAGAATAACTGCTGGCACGGCTACTTTAATAGATTACTTTTGTACAAATTTTAGTAAAAATAGTGTTAGGTGTCAAATAATTTCAACTGACATGTCTGATCATGAAGCGTTACTGACATCTTTTCCCTTACTTGAAAAAACTAAAAAACTGCCTGAAAAATTTGGACGTATATTCTCCAAAAGAAATTATGCATTATTTACTGATAATTTGAACTGTATTAACTGGGAAAGTGTCCTACTTTCGGATGAACTCATGGATGTGTTCCACTCGCTTTTGTATAATACTTTTAGTTTGTCTTTTCCAATTCGTAAAATGAGAGCTAGAAAACCCAAGAAATCATGGTTAACAAGGGGTATAAGGACATCATCCAAAAATTTGAGAGTCCTGCACAAAATTAGTAAGTTTAGTAACAACAACATCTACAAACAAATCATACAAGCAGCTAAACGTTTATTTTATAGTTCAAGAATTTCTCTTTCAAAAAATAAGGCAAAAGAAACATGGTCAATAATTAACGAGCTAAGAGGTAAAAGGGGCCAGTGCAAACAATTGGCACAAATAGATTCAAATGTTCTGAACGAATTTTACTGCTCAATCGCTTACTTCTAATTTAAACTCTAAAATTGATCCCTTGTCATATCTATCGGAATTACATGTGGAGGAAACCTTTGTATTTGATTACACAAACTCGGAGGAGCTAAAAAATGTTATCAATGAAATAAAGAGCAGATCATGTGGACTTGATGAAATGTCCATAAAAAAATTTCAAAACCTTAATGGAAATGTTCTTGGTTGTTTAGCCCAAGCAATCAACCAATGTTTTGATTCAGGAAAATTTCCTGGCATATTGAAAACGGCGGTAGTGATTCCATTGCACAAAACGGGATCATACTCAGAGCCATCAAATTTTAGACCAATTTCACTTTTCCCCACACTATCAAAAATTTTTGAAAAAATTATTAAAAAAAGAATGCTAGAGTTTTTAAGTAGAAAGAACCTGCTGAGTGCTTGTCAATATGGCTTTCAGAGTTCTAAAGGTACGAATAATGCAATTTTTGCCTTCCTAAGCCTAGTTCTCATGGTGCGGGATTTCGCATTGCGGGTCCGGAAATCGCAGTTTTTGAAAATCGTAATTTTTGATGGTTCACATGAAACGGAATTCCGGATGCGGTTTTATGTCAAATACATGATCTTAACCTAACATATTTTTTGTTTTTGTTTTCCTGTGTGCCTGGATGGATAATTATATTGCACAATTAAATTTGTATTATCAATGGAAAAGACAGAGGGAGGTATGAAAAAAAAACAAAGTATCTGCTACTACGACGAGTAGTATATTCTTCGTAGTGTTTACTTTAAAATGAAGTAGATACTACATTTCGAAACTACCGGAAATTAGTAAAGTCTGTTTTTTTTTTAAAGATAATTCCCCAAGTCAAAAATTTAGTAACTATGTTGGCAACACAAGCCTTTTCTACATAAAAAATTTGAAATCATTGACAATTTTACATTGTATTGCCAACATAATGTCATTTTGTCATATCTTTAAAAAAAAAACAGATTTTATTTGCAATCATATATGTAATCTTGTCATTACTGACTTTTTAAAAATTTGGAAGTGACACTTTACCTGTGTCACTTCCCTCTTCGATTTCCCTCACTGTAATTTATTTACCTTTGCTGGAAACAATGAGAACATGTCAGGTAAAAATGTCAAATCAGTGAATGACACATTTTGGCTTGTTTGTTTTATTTTTCTAATATTAATAAAATTAAATGATTAATCATATTCAATGGAGTGTTTGTAAATAAAATAGTATACAAACCTCGGAGGAAAGTTTTCATTTCTGTCTCGAGATTAATAGTCAATCTCGCGTCTCGATTGACTATATAAATCTCTCGACAGTAATGAAACACTTCCCTACTCGGTATGTAATATACTATTAAATCCTTTGTTGTGAAGTAAATACTTCGTAGAATATACTACTACCTGTAGTAGTAGCAAGTACTTCGTTTTTATTCGTTTTTACTCAAAAAAAAAGATTGACAAGCAGAAAGTCGAATTGCATAATATAAATGAAGAAAACCTAAACTTGGGTAACGAAATTGACGATCTACTAACCAGTAATCAAGAGATCAAGGAGAAAAACAGAAAGCTAGAGATGGACCTTGAAAACTTAGTGTCGCTTAAAGACGAAATGTTGACCTCAATCAGAACTTTAACTGAGGACAATGAAACTTGTATGAATGACTACAAAAAAGCGCAAAAAGAGATCTTCTTGATGAGAACTAGCAACTATCAAAGAAAGACTGTCAATAATGCTGAAACTGTTAGTAATGCCAGTACTCAGTATGATCCTACAATGATGGGAGTAGAAAAAATCTGTAAGCAAGTCAAATCCAAGTGTGTCGAATCTCTGCTTGTTAGATTAGAGAATAATGAAGGTCATTGCTGTAAAAGAAGAGTTCTAGTGTTGGGAGACGAAAGTGGAAGGGGCTGTGCGTCGAAGTTACGCATTTTGCTTAATGACTCTGAAGAAGCGGTTTCGGGAATAATTAAATCGTACGCCCCTCTACATGAAGTTGCAAAAAATATTTTCAGCAGTACTTTTGACTATTCTAAGAATGACGTTGTTATTGTTTGCCTAAATGTAAAGAAATCTATGATAGATTATTCGGTCCTAAAGCAAATTTTTGGTATTGGTGAATATACAAATAACCTTTTGTTCAAAAATGTTAGTGACGTACTGTCAGAATTTATGCGTAGGAACTATAATGCTTCCATTAGGGTGATAGAGAATTTTAGAATGCGAAACAAATTCCGACATAATATTCCTAGTCTTAGTAAGCTTTTATCTTTGTACATAAAAACTAAACCTTTGCAATCTAATGCTATTGTGCCACTAGCTGACAAGAATGATGTAAGCGAAACATTAAATGTGGATTCTGGGTGTGAAAACATAAACATTATTAGTGACCTAAAAATTTCAGAGTCTAATATATCCACCCTAGCAGGAAACAGTGAGATTTCTTTTTTAGAAAATGTACCCACCACTCTGACTGTATCTCCATAGTGGCACTGAATATTCAATCTGTTAGAAATAAACTAAACGAACTTGATATATTTTTAGACAGTCTACAATACCCAAGCATAATATTGTTATGTGAACATTGGCTGAAGCCTCAAGAACCTTTTAATTTAACAAGGTATACTGTTTTAAGTAAATATTGCCGAATAACTTCGATACATGGAGGAACAGCTATTCTACTAAACAATGATTTTATGGAATCTTTTCGTTTTTCTGACATTAATAAATTTGACCATTTGCTTGAAGAAAGAGTCTTTGAGGTTTCAGTCGTATTTTGTAGGCAAGTTAATTTGTATGTTCTATGTTTGTATAGATCTCCCATAGGGAATGTAGAGGATTTTTTATTCAAGCTTGAGCTGTAATTCATTAATAGTGCTGGGTGGTGATTTCAATATAAATTTCTTGGCTGCTGATAGGAACACCCAAAGGTTGGTTAATTTATTGGGTTCATTTAATTTGCATGTCATGGTGGATACTCCCACCAGAATAATCCCTAACTCTTCCACTACTATTGATAACATATGCACAAATTTTGAAAGAAATGATAGTAGTGTAAGTGTTGTAAATGCAGGTCTTTCAGATCATGAGGCCATTTTTTGTAGATTTAAGATCAGAAC